AAGGGACCAGGGGGACCGCCTCCAAAAACCAAACATCATTATTGCAGAGGCTACGGGCTTCAGAGAAGCCGCACAGCCCCCCTCCGCTTTTCGTGCCTCCCGGGCCCAATACTCACTCCCTCCAGCAGCCCGCCGCCACGACGTTCAAGGAGAGCCGTTTGGCAGTTTGAGGACTTAGAATCCCTACGCCCAGAATCACAGTAACCAAGCAATGCCGCTGCCATCACTGCGCATGCGCACAGAGACCTACAGCCAAGGGTACCCAGGGCGCATGCGCGAGGCCCAAGTGTTTCAAATCTCCCCATTTCCCCGGCAGGCGTGTCCAGGTGGTTAGAGCTTAGGCAGAGTATCAGAGTCGCGGGTTCCATTCCCTGCCCAGGGCACTTACCTAGGTTGCAGGTTTGATTCCTGGCTCTGGCTGGGCGCCTGTGGGAGGTAACCAATCGATGTCTCACATGAATGTTTCTCTCCACCCCACCTCCCCTTCCGTTAAAAAAAAAACTTTGCCCAGGACCGGGGTTAGGGGTGGTGTGGAACTTAAGGATGCTCAAGGTCTCCTCCCCCAGAAAACTCCCCTTAAAAAAAACAACTCAATCTCCTTGTGCCTTAGTTTATTTTTCTTCCACATCCCTCTGGGCCCCAACCAACCTCCAGGGAATTAAGCGGATGCACAGAAAGACGTTTTCGTGGTTTCAGAGATTGTGGTGTCTGCAAGTGCAAATTTATGAGAAACCAGTGTATGTTCTTCAGATGAAATGAAAGCAAGTTTCCTATGCTGCTCAATCCTCCCCACCTGGCCCATCTCTTACATTTACATTTTTTATTCTGTCCTAATTTTGGAACATGGAGTTAACATTTAAGAACTTTTTGAAAAATGGCTATTTACATGTCAAAAACCACTTTTTCTCACCTAGTTTAACTGTCACTTTACTGTGCATTAAATCCTCAGGTTTTTTTGTTTTGGGGTTTTGTGTTTTAATCCACTGAGGGATCTGCTTTTTTTGCATCAGTGCTGCACTATTTTAACTTCTTTATAAAACATTTTACTAGTTACAGTTCCAAAGTTCCCCCTACTTATTTGTTTTCCGTCTTCTGGCAATGTTTACCTCAAAATTATTTGGGACGAATTTTTAATGTGTTCCAAGTTTTTTTAAAAAATCTTAAGAGAATTAATTTTAACTGGCAATCTCTTAAATCAGTGTATCTAGATACATATTACGTCTCTCAATTTCCTTTCTTATTTATATGTTCCTCTTAGCTTTTGGTAGTTTTTAAAAATAAATTTTTAAAAATATTTATTGAGGAAAGGGAGAGAAACATCTATTCGTTGTTCCACTTACTTATGCATTCATTGGTTGCTTCTTGTATGTTCCCTGACTGGGGATAGAACCTACAACCTTGGCATATCTGGAGGATGCGCTAACCAACTGAGCTACCATGCCAGGGTGGTAGTTTTATTTATTTTTATTTTTATTTGTTGACACTATTATAGATGTGGTAATTTTTTTCCTTATGTAAATCCTGCCCACTTCTAGACATATCAGGGATTTTTCATTTTTTATTGATGGTATATTTTCCCATGATAATTTATAAGTGATTATTGTTTTGATGCCTGTGTATATGACAACCAGACTGAAAGTTTTTTAAGTTAAAATTTTGTAAATGGTAAAGGAGTTGACAGTTTATGGCAGGTTCGCAGGAAAGGCAAACTGCACAATAAAGTTTCACCAGAAAGATGTAATACTTAGGAATGTTATGCTGCAGATGAAAAAACAAAAGTAAAATGCAAGCAAGAGGGGTTGTTTTTATTGAAGGGTTAAGAAAATTGCTTAAAAAAATTAACAACATAAAATATAGCTATTTTTTCTTCAAATCACATTAGCCAAACTTTTCAATAATCTGCTTACTGACCTTGTGAAATCTTATCATCTTTACCATTATGGAGTCTTTTGTGCTCCACACACGTTCCATATTCTTTAAGATTTACAAACTTAAAGTTTAAATACTCATTTCCCCTTGCTTCCATCTTTCTCTATCAGAAACTCCTATCTTTCCTTCTTTATTCCATTTCTTAAGAAGGCAAAATATGTTGACTCCATACTCCATAGAAACTGGTATAAACACGTGAGTACATACAGAAACTCCTTTTAATGTAGTTCTTGATCCAACAATTTCACTTGGACTATATCTGGTGTTGTGGGTGAAACACAAAGGAGCAGGCCCACAACAGCTAATCCAAAACCAGCTAACTCGGAACTCACCAGATTCCTATTACATTTGCTAATGATTTCAAGAACTAACCAAAATGAAAAGTAACAGAAACAAACACTGCAGAAAATGCACCAGAAAAATTTGAAAGTTTGTCAACTATATTTTACAGCAAGACAAATTAGTAGATATTAATTCAGGCAGTTATTCTTCAGAGGCCATTATTATCATTTTATTCTTTGTTGGTTGAAGAGTTTCCAAAATTGTTTGGAAATAGCAACTCAGAGTGCCTGGACCTTCAGCAAAAATTGCTGCTGGAGAGTGATGGGGTGGGACGAATGCCTTCATTGGTAAAAGAACAGTTAACATAACAACAAAAATTTATCAGGCCGACTCAGCTCTAGACTAACTGGTTTTGGTGTGTGTGAATGGTTTCAAATGTGATCACCAAGCATCTGCCTCCTTCAACAGCCCAACTAGAAAATTATCTATTGTACCCTACTTGTCTCCTCAGATTTACAGTAAAGTCTCTCTGTACTGACATCTGAAGAGAAGACACTGACATTTCCTGATGCAGCCTACAATGAGGATCAAAGACATTACCAGGCTGCAGAGAGGTAGGAACCACACACCAGGACTCCAGGTCAGGTGTAGATTTGGTTGACTCTAGTGTTTTTGTATGGACCAGAGATACTCAAAGAGCGTATGTTAGGCCAACTCTGAGCTTCTGTGTTTCCTTGGTCAAATGCTAGCTATCTGGATCACAAGTTGCTTACAAGCAATTGGAATTTAAAATTTCCCATTCCCAGATTTCTGTGGAAACTAGGTTTGGATCCAGAGCAGATGCCCTGTAGAAAGTTGTTGCTAGGAACTCTCTCTCATGCCTATCTAAGACTCAAATAATACCATGGTTCACTTTTCCTGCACACTCATTTAAGTTAGGCTAATAGAATAAATAATGTGTAGAGTAACATTTGTTTTGTGATAAAAAAACAACTGAAAGATGGATACCGTAACAAATCCCTTAGCAAATGTTTTCCAATTCCAGTTCAAAGGCTGTCATTAATGTTTTTTCCTTGTAAGAGTTACCAAGAAACATATGGAACACTTTTCCAAACTGATTCATTTGTTCTCTGGGATGTACAAAACCAAGGCAGGCTTGAAAATGACCTGAACATTGAATGTACTTGTGAGTCAACACACAGATCCATAAGCAGGGTGGAAGTCCTGACTGATGGGGTATGAAGAGGACCTCGGTCCAATAAATGCTAAGCATTGCAGACACAGCAGCAAACCTTAGGAAGCAAGAATTAAACACCTTTAAAATCAACAGGGACATGAATGGCTGCACACTCTAGTAGGGACGAACCTCACAAATTTGCTGGAGGCAACTTATTAAACAAAATAAAAAAAAACCTCTGCAAAGAAAATTGACTCCATATTTACAACATCAGTAAGATTACAAAGCAAAGAAATAAGAAACTGTGACCCTTACTAAGGAAGAAAATAGAAACTGTTTTTCTCCTCCAGATGTTGGATTTATCATAGACTTAAAAGCAGCTATTATGAACATGTTCAAAGAACTAATGGAAATCATGTTTAAAGAATAATGAAAACTATTATAAAAATGATGCAATGCATGAAGAATCTCAATGAAGATACAGAGTGTATGAAACCAGAGAGAAATGTGGAGATGAAAAACATGACCTGAAATGAAAAGTACACTGACTTGAGATGATAGAAGAAAGAATTCAGTGACCTTTAAGAATCAAAAGAAATTATTCAATCTGAAGAGGANAAGAAAGAATTCAGTGACCTTTAAGAATCAAAAGAAATTATTCAATCTGAGGAGGAGAGAAAACAATGAAGAAAAGTAACAAAGCCCGAGAGACTAGATCAATATCAGCTGTTTCAACACATTTGTAAGGGCTATCCCAAAAGGAGAAGAGAAACAATAAAGGACAGATAAGTATATATGAAGGAATAATTGTCAAAAATGTGTAAATTTGCCCTATCCTGGAGTCTCAGTTGGTTGGAGCATCGTCCCATATGCCAAAAAGTTGTGGGTTCAATTCCTGGTCAGGGCACATACCTAGGCTGCAGGTTCAATCCCTGGCTGGGGCGCATACTGGAGGCAACCTATCCATGGTTCTCTCTCCATCAATGTCTCTCTCTCTCTCTCTCTCTCTCTTTCTCTGTCTCTCTAAAATCAATAGAAACATATTCTCGGGTGAAGATTAAAATAAACAAAAAACACTTCTCAACTTTCATGAAAAACAATGTACAGATCCAAGAAGCTAAACAAATCCAAGTACAAAAAACACAAGGACATCTACACCCAAACATATCACAGTCCAACTATTAAAAGTCAAGGCTAAGAAAAACATCTTAAAAACAAGAGATCAACAACCTATCAACAAAGGAGACCAAAATTTTGATTTAACAGCTGACTTGTCACCAAAAATAATGGAAGTCAGGATGTATGGGATAACATATTCAAAGTTATTAAAGAAAAACACTGTCCGATCACATATTATTCTATAGCCAGCAAAACTATTCTTTCAAAGAGGCAAAACAAAGACATTCCTAGACAAAGACTAAGAACATAAGATTATTTAAAGCAGTACTTATTGTACTGTATTGTTGAGTTGTAACATATACAGATGCTACAAAAGACAATAGCATAAAGAGAAAAAATGAGATACTAGAATAAAGTTAATACATTTTACCATAATTAAATTTATATTATTTTGAAGTATACTGTGGTAAGTTGATGCATATTGTCATCCCTAGAGTGACCACTAAGATGTAACTTAAATAAAAGGGGAACACAGGGACTTCTTTAGCTGAGAAAAACAGGAAATGAATAGTGAAATAGCAGATATTAAAAATTATATCAATATTAAATATGAACTACACTCCCAACACAAATAACAGAAGAAATTGCCAGACTGGATTTAAAAAAGCCAAGATCCAGCTGATAAAGGACTCGTATTCATAAAATAGAATTTCTTAAAACACCTAAGACAACCCCCAAAGGGGTTGGGGGTCATATATTAGAATAGATATTTCTCCAAAGATATACAAATGGCAACTAGAAGAGGAGAGAGTGCTCAACATTATGTGTGCTAGAGAAATGTAAATTAAATCCATAATAAGATACTTCTTCATATCTACTAGAATGGCCTTATCAAAAAGACAGACTAAAGGGGGATGAGGGAAGGTAGAGGGGAGATGGTGATGGAAGGAGACTTGAACTGGGTGGTGAATACACAGTGCAATATACAGATGATGTGCTATAGAACTGTATACTTGAAACCTATATAATTTTATTGGCTAGGGTTACGCCAACACATTCAAATTAAAATAAAAAAGCCCAGCCAGCGTAGCTCAGTGGTTGAGGGTCAACCTATGAACCAGGAAGTCACAGTTTGATTCCTGGTCTGGGCACATGCCTGGGCTGCAGGCTTGATCCCCAGTGGGGGGCAGCCGATCAATGACTCTCATCATTGATGTTTCTATCTCTCTCTCTTTCCTTCTCCCTTCCTCTCTATAATCAATAAAAACATTTAAAANCAGCGTAGCTCAGTGGTTGAGGGTCAACCTATGAACCAGGAAGTCACAGTTTGATTCCTGGTCTGGGCACATGCCTGGGCTGCAGGCTTGATCCCCAGTGGGGGGCAGCCGATCAATGACTCTCATCATTGATGTTTCTATCTCTCTCTCTTTCCTTCTCCCTTCCTCTCTACAATCAATAAAAACATTTTTTAAAAAAAAAAAAGACTGTAAGAAATACTATACAGGATGTGGAGCCACTGGAACCCTCAAACACTGGTGGTTGGAATATAATATTATATAGTGACTTTAGAAACAGTTCCTCAGGTCATAAAAGTTACCACAAGTCGTCAATTTTAATCCTAGGAGTCTACCCAAGAGAAATGAAACATGAATCCACACAAAGACATGTATACCCACATACATATACAGACACAAAGAGGGAGAGGGTGGAGGGAGAAGAGAAAAAGGGAGGTGGCAATAAAAAAATTAGGCAAATGAACACAACTGATGAATCTCTGTCAAGGCTATATGGAAGTTCTTTGTATTATTCTAGTAATATTTCTGTAAGTTTGAAATTACATCGAAATTTAAAATTTTTAAAAGGGGCAAGAATATCATGTGGCAAGTTCCTGCTATCAACATCTTCAATGAAGACCATATACAGCTTAAAAGTTATTACAAAACTGTAGGTAATTTTAATAAAACCACTTCAAGAATATAATTTGGTTAAATATAAAAACCAATACAATGTACTCTAAAATAATTTTTCTATTGAGTGAAATAAATTTGTAAATCCTGTAACGTTCATATTTACAAAATCTGAAAGAAAAGCAAACACAGTTTTCCATTTCTGACACGGTAATTCAAAAGTTCATTTTGAAGGGGACTGAACTTTTGGTGTAATTTTACTTTGAATACCAAGCATAATTATATAGTTATTCAGAATCTGAAGTGCCACTTTTTTATTTAACAAAATACTACCGCTCTGAAATAAATTTCATTCGTCAGCATGATAGTAATGTTAAAAACAAAGACCACAAAAATGCAAGCTGCATTTCTAAGAGTTTATAATCATTTAAATTCTGATTGTACCCGTACATTTACAATTCACTACTCTTAAGATTTTTTAAATACCACTTCATATATGGACAATCTGGAGCATAATTAAGTGTATCTTAATGAAGTTTCCACTGATGTATGTAGAAATATGGTTTACCAGCAGCCAAATAGCATCATTTCTTTATCAAAGATCAATGGTGCTATCTAGAAATAAGGACAACTCTTCAACAATTTCATTTTTTCAAAGTAAAAACACTTCCAAGTAGCTAAAGGCACAATTTTATTCACATCTAGTAGCGAAACCGACCATAAAATCATTATTTATGTGCAACTTAATAACTGATGAACATTTCTCAAACAAGCTGTTTTTTAATCCTGATAGTTCTTTATTTTCTTTAACACAGATGCTATGGATTGCTAATCTGCAATAGGTGTCATCATGAGAATAACCAAAATGAGATAAATGTGACAAAAGGATGACAAAGTGTTTCACACCCTTGAGTGATACCCCATCAAGAATGGGAGAGAAGTGTTGCAAAAGGAGAGTTCTGCAATGCTACTTATATTCTTGCAGTGAAACCAGCAACGTACCCATTTCAAGAAAGTTATCATCTCAATTCCAATTTCTTCCCCTCAAGAACAATTTGAATCTCTTTGGCATCTAAAGTCTCATAGGTCAATAAAGCTTCTGCTAGATTCTTGTGCTCTTTTGCATGAGTCTTCAAAATATGTTTTGCTCGTTCATATGAGTCCTAAAATAGAAAAGCAGATATATAAAGAGGCAAAAAAACTTAGGAGAAGCAAAAACCATAAATGAGAAAAGAAAAAAAAACTTACTCTAGAAAATTTGAAACCTAATCATTTCTATTTATAAAAGATAAAAGCATTTCTACTTATAAAAAAATAAAAGCATTAAAAAATTTATATTGATTTTAGAGAGAGAGAGAGAGAAGAAAAGGAGGGAAACATTGATTTGTTGTTCCACTTATTGATGTACTCATTGATTAATTCTATTTTTTCTTTTTTAATCCTCACACAAGGACATGCTTAGAGAGAGGAAGGGAGAGAGAGAAACATCCATATGTGAGAGAAATATCGATCAGTTGTGCCCTCCTTATGTGCCCTGACCAAGAATCAAACTCAAAACCTTTTTGGCGCACATGAAGATGCGCAACCAACTGAACCACTCTGGCTGGGCCATTGGTTGACTCTTGTAGATGCCCTGACCAGGGATTGAACCTGTAACCTTGGCTTATCAGGATGATACACTAACCAACTGAGCTACCCAGCCAGAGCAGATAAAAACATATAAAAACTTGGTTCCCAAAGTTAACTTTTCTGTACTTTCCGAATGTTTAATTTTTAACCTCAAAATGTATCACACAGGAAAATGATTACCTTAGATAAAAAGCTACTTTAAAAAATTAAAGTATACTTTGAACTTATCTGCTTCTTAAATAAGGCCTGTGAACACAGAAATCTATTTCTCTAATCAGTATATATGTTTTAAAAGGAGGAAATTTGCTCCTTTTGCCTCTTGATTTCATCAATTTATTTAATCTGGAACAGCCAGAAAAGATCTCATTCCATTTTTTTACTTGGCTTTACTCACTTGTCAACTTGTGACAACTGTAACAGTATCGTTACAGCTGATCCTTGATTTTCATACGTTTTTCTTTGCAACCCACACTGAATTTGTCACTTAAATCCTTCAATTGTCTTTCCAAAAGTGAGTTTGGACTGAGTTTATTAGGTCATAAGTTAAGAGCACTACTAACAGGTCATTTTTGGCAATGTCACATTTGTCTGTACAACGTTTTTGGTAATATTTGAGTATTTAGTCATATTTTTGCCCTTATAAAACTAGGTGGGAAATATAAAAATGAATTTACCAACACCAAGAAGTACAGATTATATAAACATAATGAAATTATTACAATTGAACCTAAAATGCTCTTAATGAGTAATCATTTTCCCTTAATAAAAATGTTAGCTTGGCATCTAGTGGAAAGAGTACCTATTGCCTTTTAAATTTTAGAAGGAAAGAACCCAAAGTTTGCCATTCTCTGTTCTAAGTTTTCAGAAATGTATTAAAGCAAAGGAAGAGTATTTCTGATGCTTTAGGAATACTAAAGCATAGATAATTTACTCAGAATAACATAAATAGTAAAGGTAAAGAGATTCAAGGTTCTAGGAAGTCAGAGACTTCTTCTGAAACACCTTCTAAACCTTTCCGTTATATAAACTTCCCATAGCCTTAGCTATTCTAAAGCATTTCTTCTGCCCCCATGAGTTAATCAAATCCTGGGGAGACTGCTTTCTCTACGCCCCCAAGTGGCAATTACTTACCCACTCTCATCCCAGATACTTCAGGGTAAAGAGGTGAGCTCTATAGTCCCATCAACACTTCCAGACCATTACTATACTCCCTCTTCTATCCAGCACTATTCCTTTGAAGTTCATACTATTGGACTACAGCC